GAAAAGAAAAAATATCAACTCTTAGAGAATAAAGACATATATAGGATCTTATTGATACATTTTTGGAAAATTATTCCTTATTTGGGTAAGGGGCAATGCCAGAGAAAGTCACTGCTTAGAGGGGCTGTGTGTGTGTGTGAATTAAGGACACTTTTTGCTATTGTATGGCTGAGTCATTTTATTAACATGAAACTATCATGAACATGCTTTGTTTTTCCTGGGAAAGAAATTAGCAAGTCATACATAGGACATACTACATGCCATGAGGATCCAAGAATAGGAAGGAGCCACCCAAGGCAGCTTCACCCACTCTTTAGGGCCAGGAATGCAAACCCTTGAAGGCCAGAATAATAAATGTAGGTGTTCTTCTAAGTGAGCTGCATCTATGAGACTTCAAGCAGAGTGACATGATTTGACATATGAAACATAAATGGTATATCATCCTCCCTTTCATCCTCATTCTCTTCTCATCCTTAACATTCTTCAGGCTTATCCACAGAGGTGACTTTCTACCCTGTTCCCCGGCTCCCCTCATTGTCTAGGTTAGATACCTCCCTCTTCTCCAGGCCCAATACCTTTGCTCATCATAATACTGCCTGTTGTGTATGTAACTGTCTCTTTTCTGTCACTAGACTGTAAATGTTTGTGAGGCTATGTCCATAGCACAGAAGTGCCTGGTTCAAGGTGTCATCTTGCCCCACAAATGGAGGATTAATAAATAAATTCCTACTTTTTAGCTTATTTAAAATTGTTTTATATAGCATTTATTATACACTTAGGGTTTATTCTCTTTCTTCCAAACTACCCTCAACCATTGAGTAAAATTCCTTTAGAAAAAGTCAGCCTGCCTCCACCAGACAGGGAGAAAAAAGAAAAGATAGCTTTAAGACAGCTTGGGAGAAAAAATTAGAGGTGGAGACACATGCACATTCATACTCTGTCAACACTGGGAGGTGGTGGAAGCGGCAATGACAGATCCAGAGTGGACAAGATGGTGCTCCCTTCCACAAAAAGGCTCTCATTTACTGCTTCTCTGAATAAGGGGGCACTGTTCTCTTCAAGGTATCACTAGAGTTTTCTTTTCAGGGTTTAAGGGTGCTTGGAGGACCAGACAGTGCATGATGAGACCCATGTAAACACGGAAATGTGAGAATGCAACAAAATCTGAGTTAACTAGCAGATTCCCTCAAATCATTTGATTTTAGCCCAGTATAAACCCATATAATACATTTCTGAACATTAAAGCCCTTCCTGGAGATATTTTGCTTGCTGGAAGGAGAGATATATCTGAAAGGAAATATCTGAAAAAAAAATCAGATATATCTGAAAGGAAAGATACACCCATTTGAATGGAGAGTTCCAAAGAATAGCAAGGAGAGATAAGAAAGCCTTCCTCAGTGATCAATGCAAAGAAATAGAGAAAAACAATAAAATGGGAAAGACTAGAGATCTCTTCAAGAAAATTAGAGATACCAAGGGAATATTTCATGCAAAGATGGGCTCAATAATGGACAGGAATGGTATGGACCTAACAGAAGCAGAGCAGATTAAGAAGAGGTGGCAAGAATACACAGAAGAACTGTACAAAAAAGATCATGATCCAGATAACCATGATGGTGTGATCACTCACCTAGAGCCAGATATCCTGGAATGCAAAGTCAAGTGGGCCTAAGGAAGCATCACTATTAACAAAACTAGTGGAGGTGATGGAATTCCAGTTGAACTATTTCAAATCCTAAAAGATTTGCACCTGTGAGAGTGCTGCACTCATTATACCAGCAAATTTGGAAAACTCAGCAGGGGCCACAGGACTGGAAAATGTCAGTTTTCATTTCAATCCCAAAGAAAGGCAATGCCAAAGAATGTTCAAACTATTGCACTGTTGTACTCATCTCACACGCTAGCAAAATAAAGCTCAAAATTCTCCAAGCCAGGCTTCAACAGTAGGTAAACCATGAACCTCCAGATGTTCAAGCTGGTTTTAGAAAAGGCAGAGGAATCAAATTGCCAACATTCGCTGAATCATCGAAAAAGCAAGAGTGTTACAGAAAAACATCTACTTCTGCTTTATTGACTACACCAAAGCCTTCGACTGTGTGGATCACAACAAACTGGAAAATTCTTCAAGAGATGGGAATACCACACCACCTTACCTGCCTCCTGCAAAACCTGTATGCAGGTCAAGAAGCAACAGTTAGAACCAGACATGGAACAACAGACTGGTTCCAAGTCAGGAAAGGAGTACATCAAGGCTGTATATTGTCACCTTGCTTACTCAACTTAAATGCAGGGTACATTATACGAAATGGTGGGCTGGATGAAGCACAAGTTGGAGTCAAGATTGTTGGGAGAGATATCAATAACCTCAGACATGCAGATGACACCACCCTTATGGCAGAAAGCAAAGAGGAACTAAAGAGCCTCTTGATGAAAGTAAAAGAGGAGAGTGAGAAAGTTGGCTTAAAAGTTAACTAACATTCAAAAAACTAAAATCATGGCATCCAGTCCCATCACTTCATGGCAGATAATTGGGGAAACAATGGAAGCAGTGAGAGACTTCATTTTGGGGGCTCTAAAATCACTGCAGGTGGTGACTGCAGCCATGAAATTGAAAGACACTTGCTCCTTGGAAGAAAAGCTATGACCAAACTAGACAGCGTATTCATAAAAGCAAAGACATTACTTTTCCAACAAAGGTCCATCTAGTCAAAGATATGGTTTTTCCAGTAGGCATGTATGGATGTGAGAGTTGGACTATAAAGAAAGCTGAGCACCAAAGAACTGATGCTTTTGAACGGTGGTGTTGGAGAAGACTCTTGAGAGTCCCTTGGACTACAAGAAGACCAAACCAGTCAATCCTAAAGGAAATCAACTGTGAATATTCATTGGAAGGACTGATGATGAAGCTGAAACTCCAATACTTTGGCCACCTAATGTGAAGAACTGACTCGTTGTGAAAGACCCTGATGCTGGGAAAGATTGAAGGCAGGAGGAGAAGGGGACGACAGAGGATGATGGATGGCATCACTGACTCAATGGACATGAGTTTGAGCAAATTGAGGGAGCTAGTGAAGGACAGGGAAGCCTGACCACGGAGTCGCAAAGAGTTGGACAGGATTGAAGGACTGAACTGAACTGGAAGGAGAGATGCAACCAGGCAGGACTAGTGCATAAAGGCCGGTCCCAGGAGAGTGCTGCCTTACAGCCGAGCTTCCGCACCCATCCCAGCCCACATCCCGCAGTTCCGAGTCTCTGCAGTGAAAGGTGGGAGATCGGGCAGAGGGGCAGATGGACGCTAGAAAGGCTTGGAAGATTCAAGTGCCCGAGGAACCTCACCTCCCAAGTAGTCTGACTAAAACACTCTCCGAACCTTAGTCCATCTCGGTTTCCGCGAAATGAGTGGCACCTACTGGGGAGCCCTTCCTACCTCCGCTCTGGACCTTGTGCCATCTCGGCCATTTGAAAGACCTTGGAGACAAGGTCTTAAAGCCCGCCAGGCCTGGGTATGGAGTGGGGAGCGAAGACTGGCAGACCTGTCCTCCAGTGTTTATGCAAACTCGGCAGCGGGGTTGGGGAGAGGAGGACGATCCCCGACGTTACCGGGGATGGGCTCTGGGCCCGGGAGGCTCAGAGGCAGAGACTGCAGGTCGCTGGACCGCAAACGCGAGACAGGGGTTGCTGGCAGAGAGCCCAGAGCTGCGCGTCTGGGAGACAGACTAGCTAGCAGAGAGCTCAGTCCAGTCCCCACTGCCTGCGCAGGGGCCTCATCTGGAGAGCTTAGCTGGGGCATTTCACGGAGCAAGGGGCCAAGTTCCCAGGGGAGCTGAGGAAGATGTTCTCCAAAGCTTAGAACCTATCACTGCCTCCCAGGGATTCGGTCTATTAGGGAAAGGAACTGAGTATTTGCGGAGTGTTTCGAGCTGGAGCGAGGTGGGGAGCGCAGCGTCGGCACCTTACCCCCACACACCGCCAACTCCAACCAGAGGCAGGGGCCTCTGCAGAGTTACGGCAGCCTTCCCGCCCTCTTCGGATGTTGGGTGTCCATCCCTGCAGCTCCTTCCCAAATCCTTCTTTTCCCCTTTGGTTCATCTGTGCTTCCACCTGCGGACCCCGTCTGGAGCAGTTACTCCAAGGCGACCTAGCTAGCGCCCCCTCCAGGACTGGGTTGGGAGCACGCTCGGTTTGCAGACTCCCACAGCAGGTAGCAGCAAAAGGCTTGGTGGCTGCGATGGTGCAGTGAGCCGATTGTCGACAGATAGTGCAGCTGCGGCCCTGTGAAAGAGGGCTGGCGAGTACGCAGCCCAGGTACGGCCCCTTCTCGGTGACGTCACTACAGCCTGTTATAAAGACCTCGGGCGCAGCCTGCCAAGGTTCTGCTAACTCCCAAGCCCAGCAGACTTGAGCCAAGAGGCGCCTGCAAAGCTGCAGGCGGCGGCGGCGGCAGCGGCGGCGGCTGTAATGAAAGCGGAGGAAAAAATCTCCAGCTGGACCCAGGGCCCCAGAATCCCGGCCATAGACTCTGACTTTTACGGGTCGTGCTGTGACTAACACCTCCCAGTCTTATCTTCGCCCCCCAGCTCCTCACGCAGCACAGGGCTTTGCCTTTCTCGCTGCAGGCAGGAAGAACAGCGCTTGCAAGCAGCAGCAGGTGCAGTAAGGTGGAGGGGTGTCTCCTGCTTCCTGGAACCGTGACCCGTGGAATTTCTTTCTCTGTTCCAGCTCAACGCAGGAGAGACGCTGTTCTGCAGATTACAGAACTCAAGCGCTTCCTGAAGCTTAAAAGTGGAGGAATTCAAAGCCAAGGATATACAGCACATCTAGAAGATTTTATTTGAGCGTCAAGTCTTCTGCTGTAAGGAAAGGGATCTGTCCAGAAAGAGCCTGCGAGCCCTCCCGTCTGGGTTAAACAGGACTTTTTGACCTCAGGCGCTGGCTCAGGACCCTGCTACGAAAGGGTCTGTGTGTGTATAGAGAGGAGGGCTTAATCACTTAGCAGAAGAATGGATAACGTCCTCCCAGTGGACGCAGACCTCTTCCCAAACATCTCCACCAACATCTCGGAGCCTAACCAGTTTGTGCAGCCGGCCTGGCAAATTGTCCTTTGGGCAGCTGCCTACACAGTCATCGTGGTGACCTCCGTGGTGGGCAACGTGGTGGTGATGTGGATCATCTTGGCCCACAAGAGAATGAGGACAGTTACCAACTACTTCCTGGTGAACCTGGCCTTCGCAGAGGCCTCCATGGCTGCATTCAATACAGTGGTGAACTTCACCTACGCCGTCCACAACGAGTGGTACTATGGCCTGTTCTACTGCAAATTCCACAACTTCTTCCCCATTGCTGCTGTCTTTGCCAGTATTTACTCCATGACGGCTGTGGCCTTCGATAGGTGAGCTTGACCTTTGTGGAAAAAGGGAAAAGGTATCTTGAAAGGAAGGTAGCATTGCTATGGAGCTTCAGGGTTGAGTAGTTCATGATTCAAGGAGGAGATTGACCACTCGTACCCTGGATTTGTACTGACAGCTAGCTGAGTCAGCTGTTGATGGGGGATTTTCATCTTATCTGATGCTTTTCTATCTCTCTTTTCTTTTCTACTCCTTTTCACTGGTCACCTGTCTCCTTTCCATTACATGTACATGTGTGTGTACAATCACTCAGTCATGTCTGACTCTTTGCAACGCCATGGACTGTAGCCCGCCAGGCCCCTCTGTCCATGGGATTTTCCAGGCAAGAATACTGGAGTGGGTTGCCATTCTCTTCTCCATCTTTCCCACATAGGGATTGAACTTGCATCTCCTGCATGGTAGATTCTTTACTACTGAGTCGCCTGGAAACATCCTCCCCCCCACCTTTTTCCTTCATTTAACTCTTTTATCCCCCCTCTCCACTCATCTCCCTGACAGTTTTCCTTTCAACTCCTGCTTTGCTTCTTTCCGTATATTCCTTCTCTCTCTGCCTTTACAGACTGGAGGGGATCCCCAGGGTGTAGCCAAAGGCCCGGCCCTGACCTGGGCACTGTGAGTCCCTGCAGGTCTGCGCTTCTGCTGTGCAGCCTCTTGGTGCTTTCCAGTTTTGAGTACCTGTAGGCAAAATCCCTCATTTTCACTTTTTTCCTGAAGATTCAGGGGCTTTCTGCTCCCATCACACCCCTCTAATATTATTTGGATGTTAAGAGCATTCCGTTAGAATCGTAAAATGCAGAATTCTAATTAAGGTCTGTGCTGCTAGGAGATCTCATTCAGGAATGAGAGGCAGCTGTGTTCTTAAGGAACTCCACATATAGGATCCAGGAGTTTTTCAAAATTTCTCTTGCCATGTAAGGCCAATGTTTCTAGACTGTCTGTATCCATAGAGAAACATGCTTGGCAAAGGCAATCAAAGGCAATTGAGAGCTCTTTCCTGCATCCAACAGGCTAGGCTTCCAGAAGCTGATTAATAGTGAAAATGTTGGCATTTTCAAATGGGTCCTAAGGTGGCATGATGGAAAACTAATTATTAGAGCATAGCTCTATTTGTATTGACTTTTTGTGAGTGCCCTAGGTCTCTAATGTGTATATCTATGGTTTCACAAGTGTTAAATGTTTACCTAGGATGTGGAGGTATGTTTAAAACACCTGCCACTGTGATTTTGAAATGGGTCCTTCTGATGGCCTTGCTGAGATAAATAAATATGAGAAACCCAAAGAAGAAGCTAAGAGAAAAGCTTCAAAAATTTTTTCCGAAAATTATTGAACTCTTTTGCATAAAATTTATAATTGATTTAAGTGGGTTCTATAGCCAAATCTCTTTTTAAATCAGAGAAAACTATGTTTCTTTTACAGTGATATCCAAATGCTGATTTTTAAGTTCCCTTTATGCAACTCTTATGTGCTTAATATGTAATGTGTAAAATAAATTATGGTGAGTCAATTTATATTTTAAATGTAGAAGAGAAACCAATTACTCAAAGTGATACTGAAATGAATTGTTTTGAGAATTTCTCTCTTATGCTACTCTGGTTTTTAGATATTTGTTTTGCTGGATGTCAGGTACACCTGTAAGTCTTTTTGCAGTGACTTGCTCCTTTAACTCCTCAGCCCACTTAAACTTAGAAAACTCACAGCGTGATGTATAACTGATTTTATGTGCAGTGAAGCCTGATGCCATTTCAGCTTTACACATGCTATCTTGATTATCCCTAACTTAGAGGGAAAGTTGATATATTTACTTCATTGGATACTTGTGAGCTCAAGGGAGACCTGACGGTCAGTGTGAGCCCAAGCATTCAGTAGCTGATGGAGCCCCAACGGACAGCTCTCCTGCTTTGGCTAATACAGAAATGACATGTTCCAAGCACCTCTCTTTCTCTTTGCACTTAGAAGGTGAGGGGTAGGATTCAGGGTCCAAGTCTTCACAGTGGGTTGTGAGAGGAGCCAGATTTTGGCTGCCTTGACTCTGACGCCTCAGGCTCTGCTGTTGTCTCTAGGCAAACCACACACAGGACCCTGACCCGCTGTGACACCCTCAATAAAATCAGAAGATCTCTGGTGACAACAAAAAAATGCCACTTGTGCCTGATGTGCAGGTTATCAACGGCATGCTCAGGGTTAGAGTTCAAGTACAGTCAGGTTGCCTCAAGGCTGTGTCTCTAGGTTCTCCAATGCTCCTTCTGGTTTTTCCTTTTCTGCTCATGAGCAGAGTGAATTAATCCCCTTAGGCCCTCCCATGAATCTAGCTCTCCTACAGGCATGGTCATCCATTCTTTCCCTAGAATGTTTTAGAAAGGAAGAGGCTTCCAGCTCTCTCCATATGAATGATCTCTACTCTGCCGTGGCAATGCCGACTTGGAGGAAACGTTAAATTACCTTTTTGTATGCTCCTTGCATTTTTAACAGATAATCTTTGAATTATCTTAAAAAATAAAAGCAACATGGTTTTCCTCATTATAAAATTAGACTTCGTTCATGAAGAACATAGGCACAAAAATACAAATCACCCACTACTCCACCATGCAAAAGTAACACCTGTTAACATTTGAATTTCTCTTTTTATGACTATTTCACTATATTACTGAAGTAAGATTCTAGGTAATTTGGTGGGTTATTTTTTTCCATTGATATTAATGGAAAACATTAATAATATTTTTTTATGTTATTAAAACTCTTCAGTAACATAATGGTAGTAGCTTCCTATTAATATTATTCCATTATATGAATATGCTATTATTACTTTAACCATCTCCCTACTGTTGAGAATCTACTAATTCTGTATGATAATTTTATTTTGTTTTCTTGATTGTTTCCTTAGGGTAGATTCCCAGAAATAAAATTACTAGGCCAAATGAAATGAAATTTTAAAGAATGCTTCTTCCTAATTTTAAAGGATTCTAAACCCTGGGCAGAGCATGGAACATGTCTTTTCTGTTTTGTTTACTTTATCTCCTCAGAACAAAGAAGAGTGCTTGGTACTTAACAGTCACTATATGCTTATTGATTAAATGAATGAACAAATAAATAATACATGCTCCTATAGAAACATTTGGAAGAACATTATCAATGGCATGCTCAGGGTTTATAACTATGTTCAAGGTAGAGTTAGGAATAAGGTCTCAAGGCTGTATTTCCAAGACCTCAATTTTAAAAAATGTAAAAATCTACCATTCCACTACAGAAAACTGGATAAAGATCTGGAATGCTAGCTTATACTTACTTTTTCTCTGTTACTTATGCCACACAGAGTCACTCATATTTAATCTACATTTTGGATTGTAATAAAAACAGTTTCAATGGTTGTTTTTTTGTGTGTTTTGTTTTGTTTCATTTTCCAAATCATGAAGTAGTTTTCAAAATAAAATTTTTAAAGGATGCATTATATTGCGTAGCTATAATCATTTATTTCATCATTCCTCTATTTTTAGATGTATATTGTTTCTATTTTTAATGATTACAAGTAACTGTGAAATTAATATCCTTGACAGAAATCTGAGAGCATCCCTTGTTCTTTTCATAGAATAAACTCCTTAAAATTGAATAGCTGGGTCAAACTGTCTTGGTAAACTTTGCCAAATTTCCTTCTAGAAACAAAGTGTAGGCAGAGAAAAAGACTTCAGCTGCAGATTGTAGAACTAATTTGAATCTTTCCTGTAAACTTTCCAGAGTGAAGGGAGAGAGACAGAGAGAGATAATGAGATTCCCTTCAGAAGGAATACACATTTACTGAAGGCAATGGCTGTCTAGAATTTTTTAAGGTTGCAGAGACAAATATACTAAATAATATTAGGTTTACTAATTAAACTCCAACAGATACCAAGGATTTTTCTTTTTAAAAATCTGTAATTTCTCCCACTCAAAACAAAATTTTAAAACTCCTTCATATTTTAAAAACTAAAAGGTATGTGTGTGACGTTTCATGAAATTAGAAGTTGGAAGACCCTGAGAGGTGACACTTTCATTTTTTAGGAGCCAGTCTTGATGACTGGTTCCAGTTCTGTGGAGCAGCATCTAAGAAGTTAGGAGGGGGGAACCAATCCTTTAGCCCCACAAGAGGGGCAACAGAAGCAAATGGGAACCTGACTTGGAACCCAGCTCACAGCAGCCAGAGGCTCAGAAAAGTGCTGGTCTGATAGCACTGTTTCTTTACCCGTCAGGGGCTGTTATAATTTCAGCGAATGAAAGGTAAATGTTGCTTACTTCTCAGACTGGGTCTAAATATACAATAGATATACAATATCTATATGTATATATATGTACATATGTATATATACGATATACAATATCTATATGTATATATATGTACATATGTATATATACAATATACAATATAGATATACAATAAATATACAATATTGTATATATATACAATATACAATATAGATATACAATAAATATACAATATTGTATATATATACAATATACAATATAGATATACAATAAATATACAATATTGTATATATATACAATATATATATACAATAAATATACAATATTGTATATATATACAATATATCTACAGGTATATTGTATTTGAGTGAAAGAAAACATCCTAATGATGATGGTCTCTGGACAATATGAAATTTGTTCAGGACCAAAAAATAGTTCCTCATTTGAAGGTAAAAGAGGGAATGAATTCTCTGAGGGATTAAAAGAGGAACCAAGACATAACAAAACTCTGCTTACTGATTCCCTGGTATCCATCCCACTCTGTCCCAGTCATACTCAGCTACTGGTATAAATAGTCTGCTTCCCAAGTCTCTGCTAGACCTGCAGCCTGTCCTTGAACCTCAGCTTGTTGACAGACTTGGATCCCATTGTATATCTCAGGGCAGTCCTTCTCCATCACATCCAGAGGCAAGTCTTAGATCCCAAGATCCTTTCCACTAATTTAGATAGATCTTACCGTCCATGACTAAGC